GTAATAAGTGGTGCTGGGTGACAGTGAAAACATGCATTTGTCTCATCAAAATATTTCCCTCCTTCTAGAGAGGTGTGTCCCCATTTAAGGGCCTCTTGACTGCCAGATGGTCTATGTGCTCCTTGGATGATGGTGGATCCAGCTGTTGTCACCTGGATGTCAGGGTAGGACAATAGGAAGACAAAGACTGTGTGTGGAGCCAGTCGATGATTTACAGACAGCAGAACCCCTGTGGGAAATCTCAGACTCACTCCAGCTAGTTGCTGCCTCTCCTTTCACTGTAAGTTGTTTATGGCACACCACCCCCTCTCCCTGATATAGGTGGCCCTGACTTATTCACCCTTGTGATCCCACAGGACCTAGGCAGTGTCCGGGAAGTTAAAGCTTTCACCAGTGTTAACAGAACTGTGGGCCTCAGCGGGGGAAGTTGAGGGTTAGGATGCCCTGATATAGGTGCAGTTGCTTTGTCCACACGGAGGCGGGGCAGGAGAGTGGAGTGCACACCTGAGTACCTATCTGGGCGGGGAAGACCAACAGCGGGAGGGTGAATGGATCTCCAGTTGCTTGGCGACTTACAGAATGACAAAGCTTCAAGTCCAACTGCAGATGAGAAAACAAAGCCAAGAGAGGAGCAGGGGTGTGTGGAAGGCTGTGACTGGTTACCGCATCCCCACTCCTCTCCCAGGACCTGAACTGGGAAGAGGAGGATACCCAGCCGCAGCAAACACATGCCGAAAGGCCAACAGCACCAGGTTTCAATCTCAAGATCGTGGAAATGTTAACTAGTATGCAAGGAGTGGGGGTTGGGGGGGACGTTATTAACCCCAAAGGCTGAATGGATAGGGGATCCTTTGGAAACTGCCGACACCCCCTTTCCAAACAATTCTGGGTGTGGGCATCACTCACTGCTCACCCCCCAGACCTCATAAACCCTGGGAAAGTAGAGTTCGAAGCCTTCCCCGGTCTTATCTTCTCCAGTCTTCTCCTCAGTTACATCACGCATGCTCCAGGCAAACCAGCTGCCTCCTACATACTGTGGGCTCCACGGGGAAAAGGCCCCGGAGAAAAATGGCAACTCTGTCCTATTCCATACGAAACAAGTTGAGCCCTCGGTCTCTCTGGGGCTTCTTCTATCACATGGCGCCACGCTGTGGCTTGCTCGTCAGGGGTGTTCCACACTGCCGTCACACCAGGATAGCAGCCAGCTGGGTGACAGCTTCCACAGTCTTCTTCCTTCTCCCCCTCCCCACCCCACCTGCGGCATCTCTGGATTCCTAGGCAGCTCACCCCAGCAGCAGCCCTCTCAGCGGCACTGTTCTAATGCTTGGCTAATTGTTCTCTGTATCAGGTGCTGTCCACACGCATCCTATAAATCAGAATCCAATTACGGTGGTAAGAAAATTGGAAGTAAATTTAATAAGCTTGGACCCCTCCCACAGACTGTGTCTTCACTCTTCTCTTTTCAGTAATGAGAAATCTTTAAGGGAAAAAAGCCTTTTTCCTTTAACTGAGTCTGTTCAGATCCCTCATCTGAATGCCCTGAGGATGGAAGGAAGACAGAAGAAGCTTCTTCCAGCTCCCCTTCTCCTCTTTGCACGTAAGGCAGATGGGAGGGAGTAGTCAGGTGTCTTTCCAGTTCTACTCTCCCTTCTGTTGGTTCAACAATGTTTATTGAGTTCCTATCACACACCAGGCACATTGTAGTAGATATTATCAAAGGTTACTTGCCCTAGAGGGCAACTGGTGTCATTAACTAGTAGAGCCTTAGCTGCAAGGCATGATGGGAACACAAAAGTAGACCTGTGGGAGGGAAGCCTGTATCGGTGGGGTTGGATCCCACAAAGGAGCCAGGAGTCCAGTGTGGGCCAGTGGCCACTGGCCTAGGAGTGCCCCACGGTAGGATGAAATCCAGGAGGATGGCTTCATACAGCTTCTGTGCTCGAAGAAACTGGGAGAAGGGGGAGGAGCCGGAAGGAGCCAGAGAAGCGAAAGGACTGCGCAGGGCCTGAGACAGAAGTCCTGTCTCCTGGATGGAGGGAGAGTGCTGCAGCATGCAGGCAGCAGGGTGGCCTTATTCCAGGGCCTTCCATTCCCCTCAAACCCTGAGTCTTTCAGCGGGACCAACCAGCCCGTGGACTTCATCTGGTTCACAAAAGCAAGCGCAAGTATAAGCCGATGACCTATGGTTTTCAAACTCGAACACGCGTCAGAATTACCTGTAGTGCTTGTCAAGATGCAGGCTGCTAGTCTGCATCCCCAGGGTTTCTGAGTCCGTAGTTCTAGGGTAAAGCTTAATCATTTGCATTTCTAACAAGTTCCCAAATGATGCTAGTCGCTGTTGAGCTGCTAGTTTGTGGAGAACTGTTGTTCTGAGCCCTTACTATTCAGAGTGGGATCCATGAACGGGTGGCATCAGCGTTGCCCAGGAGCTTGTGAGAAATGCAGAAGCACAGGCCCTACCGCAGACCTGCTGCATCAGCGGTGAGTCAGGTCCTCCCGTGACGTGTCAGCTCGCCTGTTTAAGTCTGAGAAACACTGAGCTGGAGCAGTGGCTCTTAAGCCTGACTGCTCATTAGAACCACCTGCGGAGTTTAGACAAGAGAGACTTCAGCTGGTCAGAGTTTGGTCTCATCATTTTTAAAAAGCTCCCCATGTGGTTCTTCAACGAGGCCTCGACTGAGAACTGCTGAGGTTCATACTCACGCCTACACTCCACACCCACATGTATGGTTGACTGCAACGCTCCCATTTCTCTAGCATTGGACTTAATCTTGAAACCCTCCTCTCTCCCTCCCTGCTCCACCACCACTCCTGACAACTCAGCGATCTGCCTAGTGCCCCTTCCCGATGCCTGGGGTTTGGCTGCATCTCTTTGCCTGAGCGGCCTCACTTTTCTCAGGAGGGCCCTCGCCTCCCATTTCTGGCCCTGCACTGTCAGCCAGCTCATGTTATTTATTACCCTGTGCTCTACATAGAATTTATTTGATTCTTAGAAAAAAATCACATTAGGTGGGTGTCGTTATTGTTTGTTTGTTTGTTTTTGTTTCAATCCCTGTTTGTTAAAACAGGAAATTGCAGTCCGGAGCAGCCAGGCGATGTGAGGTCCCCCCGCTGTGTCTGTGGCGCAGCCAGGACTGGAAACAGCATGATCTGACCCCGGAGTCTACACCTCAACCCCCTGGGCTCTAAGTACCGCCTTCTGCCTGATTCCGCCTTTCAGGGAGGGTGTGGCCTCATCCCGTTGCTGGGGCCGATAACGTGTTTACATTTCATTCTTGAGAACTCAGGTAACAAGTGGGGCTGGCTTTGCAGCCGTGGTTCTCATTGCAGTTTTGTCCCCAGGAGACATCTGGCCATGTCTGGAGATATTTTTGGTTTTGACAACTTGGGGGTGTTATTGGCATCTAGTGGGCAGAGGCCAGAGATGCTGCTGAATATCCTACAGTGCACAGCAGCACCCCGAGAAAAAGAATTACCCAGCCCAAAGGTCGGTCTCCGCTAAGAATCTCTAGTCACGGGGCCTGTGAGTCAGCAGCAGCCACAGCTGGTCGAAGCCGGGGCAGGCCGGGGCAGGCAGGGCCGGGAAGGGCCGCAGGGCTCTGTCAGGCCAGGCCGGCAGGCTCCACACTTCACAGCGGGAGGAAGCCAGTGCACAGTGGAGGCTGGACTCACAGGGGGATGCAGGGACTCAGCTGGCGACTTCGACCTCATGGACACAGGGTTGGAAGTGGGAGCCCCTATAGACTGAAGGCCACCCCGCCATGGGGCCGATATGAGGGGAGAACACCAGGCTTTGCTGGTAGTCTTCGGAACACCCGACACCACAAGAGTGAGGTGGGCACAGGGGCAGCCCTCTACCCGACTCAACCTGGAGATGGCTGATCGATCGCTGGTTTCTCGTGGTGCTAGCCTGGGTCTTCGCACACAGTAGGTGCTCAGTGCCTTGATTGCCTGGTCCTGTGCGCTTGTTCTCATTCCTAATCCCCTGTCCTCTCCTCTTCCTGCTCTTTCAGATTAGGATCCATACAAGTGAAATGCTCTGAGTAACACAATCCCAGCTCCCCCCACCTCCCCAGGGCAAGGTCAGTGCCCTGAGGCAGACACATGCCTGGTACACATTCCCTTTTTGTCTTCCCAAAGGGTGTCTGGATTTTCTCTCTTCCCCTCTTGCTGCAAAATCCCAGCAGACCACACTTACTGAACAGATGGAATTCACCGGGTTAGTTGCAGAGCCCAGGACTGGACGAGGGGAACTTGGACCTTTGGGGACATCCGGCCTTTATGAACCTCCTTCATAGAGTAGAGTGAATGCAGAAATTCATCCTGCACAGGGTATCCCTGCGAACCTGCCTGCTCAGCGAATTCCCGAAGGAACCCCCCTCCCCCCCGCTGCAGGGGAGAGCGTCCAGGGACATCCCCCAGCCCTCTCTGACCACAGCTCTCACCCAGACGTGCCAGCTCCTTTCCTGGCCGGCAGGTGTCCCTGTCCCTCTGGAGGGCTTGGCCCCTGGACTCAGGAGCAGAAAGGTGCCACCAGACTGAGACCCAGTGGGGCCCCTCAGCACTCTGTCTCCTTCCTCTTCTCCTACACGTAACCTCTGCTCACAGAAATAAAATAGCCTAATGTTTAAATAAAATTCTATCAGATGCCAAGGACCAGGACCCGGGCTGGGGCATTTCCACGGGACTAATGCAAGACTGACTCTAACAAGCTCCCAGGCCAGCAGCAGGAAGTGTTCTAGATACAGTCCATCCCCTGGGTCTTGGGCTGTGACTTCTAGTCCCCGCTGCTGGTGAAAGGGGCCTCCCACCCTCTCCACTGGGTAGCTCACAACCAAGCTCAGCACAGACAGTGTGAATGGCCACATTGTAAACCCTCTATCAACCAGCTGGCAACAAACGGTTTGCCTGCCCCGGCACTTGGCACTGGCCACCGCACAAATCAAGTGTCCTGACCACAGGGAGGGGCAGGCGAGAGAGTAGCAGAGAAAGGGGATTACCTCAGGTGGCGAGTGTCCGGGATGGCCCGGTTGCTGGCGATGCGCTCGCTCTCCCGCTGGTTGAAAGCATACAGCTTATAGGGATCGTCACCCACGCGCCACTTTTTGGCATTCAGATACCGCCGCTCATCAAACTGGTCCCACAGGTCATCCCAGTCAGCTTCCAAAATCTGTGTGACAGGAACAGGAAGTCTGTGAGAATGGCTCCTGGCCTTCCACCAGCCCTTCTGTCCATCCATCAGTGTCCAACCGCAGAGTCCAGGCTTGTTCTGGCAAGTTTGGCTCAGAGATGCGCCAGAGGTAGGATGTTAATAAAACCATCAGCTACCCAAGTGAACAGAACGACCATCATGGCAGCTACCATTTACTGAGCACGACACACCAGGCGCGTGCCGGGACTGTCACTCCTGGGATGTCGTGTATTTCTCACAGTGCTTCTGCAAGGTGCGTATGGCTCACATTCCCATTACACAGGCAAGGCAACAGCCTCGCCTGGCTAAGCACCTTGCTCAACATTCCACAATCCGGGAGTGGATTTTAGTATCCTGACTCCAGGATAATCTGAGGACACACAACTGAAATCGCCAGCACAGCAGCCGGCACATAGTAGGTATACAATGACCGTCATCCCATAGGAAGGCTGTGACGGGAAGTAGGTGGTCCATCTGAGATGCCGTGCTCCCACTGGACAGGCACCCTACGCGTTCCTTTCCTGCTCCAACCCCAGAACCTGCAATTATTTTTATAAAGCATCAGTGGGGAAACAAGTCATAACCCTCACCATCCGGGGAGACAGCACTTTACAAGGTATTAGGTAGTTTCCTCATTCATGAGCTCCTTTCGCTTTCCCCAAAACCCTGTGTACTGAGGCAGGAATCAAGGTTTCGCAAAGGTGACTGGCTTGTCTGAGGCTGCCCAGTGGACACAGGCAGGGCGTGAAGCAGAGCTCCAGCCGCCCCCCTCACCCCCGCCCCCCATGCCCTCCATGCATTCGCACAGTGGAGGAGGAGGGAGGGTTTACGCAGGGAGGGGGGCCTCACCCAGAGCCCCACCCACACCGGATCCACAGCCAACAGAGCCCTACTGCAAAGCCAGAGAGGGGGCGGGGCTTCAGGGCCTATCCCACAGGATAAGCATCCCTTGGCGACCACTACCCAGTGGATGCTAGCACTGTCATCGGGAAAGGTGAGAGCTGGTCTGTATTCAACCACACTCAGACCTTTCAGGTTCATCAAAGCCAAAGGAATGTTGTGCCTCTGGGAAGAACCTACTGACCAGGGTCTGACGCGGGATGGGGGACCCGGGCCCTGGGGCTGGCATCCTCACCGAGGATGAGATGCTCACTCGTGTGTTACCGAGCCTAGTTGCTATGCAAGCTGCCCGGTCCCTGCCCTTCCCATCACTGAGCAGGATGCCCTTCTCCACTTGGGGAGCCAGAAAGGCACAGAGACAGCAGAGCAGGAGCCCCGCCCACACACGGCAGGTGAGGGGCCGCTTGCCGGTGTGCGAATACCTCGGGCACCCTTCCGCTCAGGCGCCCCTCCGTCTTATCTGGTAATTGATCTCTCTTTCTCGTTATCTCATTTTGCAACAGCATTCTCCTGCTAATAGCACAAAATGAAGCTTTAGAAACCAGTGATTTTTATCCAATAATTGATCTTATTAATGTCCTGTGATACTATTGCTACTCAGGGGGAACTTGGTTGCAGGGAGTGGTGTGTGCAAAACTCCCGAGCCTGTGCTGTGCAATGTCACAGCCTGACAGCTGTCACCTGTGCTTAGAATGTCACCACACGATGAACTGACCCCGCATCTTCCAGGGAAGGAACATGGGGTCCTGCACCGTCTCCTGCTGGCTCATTTCCAGCTTAATTCATTGCATCGTTGTAAATAAACTGTGGGCCCCACTGTGCTCTGTGCTATGAAGGGAGGTGCAGAGAGGGGAGGCCTCTGCCCTCGAGGCGGGGGGTTGCCGTGTGGCTCAGAGACACGCATGAAGACACCTCTCACACAGCTAATGGAGGTGTGAGGGAAGCGGGAAGGACTTCCTGGAACAAGTGTCAAGTGAGTTAGAGGCTGAAGTCTGAGCAGGAATTTTACTTCATTTAAGGGGAGGTGGGGAGAGCAAATACGTGTGTGGTGAAAATCCAGACAAAAGGTGGGGAGGCCTGAGGAGGGAAACCTGTTCAGGGAATGGCTAGCTCAGGAATGGGAGGCCGGAGTGGGATCGCAGAGAGGCGTGAGTGAAAGAAAACTCTGGAACGCAGCTGCACCTGCAGGAAGCAGCTCAGGAGGGAAACGCCCCTGGCCACATATGTAGGGTAGGGTGGGGGGAGGGGAGCTATGGCAGGAGGCCAGGGGGGAGGTGACCTCAGTCAACTGGCCTGGTGGGAAGGGCAGCCTGAACTGGGCAGCTCCTGCTGGGGCCCAGATGGATGGTTCCAGCATCAGCGGGAGAAGCAGGTGGAGAGGCAGGCACCCGTGGAGGGGGCAGGTAGCCAACCTCTTGGCTTCATCCCCTACTCTCTGTTCCCACTAGACCAGGCCCAGGGCCAAGAGGGCTTGAGGCTGGGTGATCTGCTCAGCCTGGCATTTGCCATCCTAGGAGCGGTTAAGCCTCCTTGACAGACCCGTCTCCTTGGAGATGGTGCCGGGAGAACTCAGTGGCATTCTGGCCCCTAGAGAGCCTGGAGCCAGAGCAGCAGCCAGGCTGGCGAGAACAGTCACCTGAACAGTCAAGACTAGGCCACGAGGCTGTCCTTAGAGAGGACCGCTCCCTCAGATGGTCACACTATGGAGCTGGCCCACACGTTTCTGCTCTGAGGTCCACGCTGGGGGGGCGGGAGGACGCCCTGCACCGGGAGCTTGGCTTTCCTATCGAGATATCTGAACACACTAAATAATGATGAATCTGTGTTTAAAATGATAGCACTACCATCGGAATAGCAATTTCTGTTTTACAATGCAGCATGTGCAACTGTCACAGAATCTCCACACAGCCCCATTTGCACAGGGAGGGATCGGCTTACCGAGGTTCAGTGGCTTTAATAGCTAGTAAGTGACAGGATAGCTGATCGAATTCTCCCCAGAGCCTCCCAAGGCCACGGTCTGCTCTGTCTCCTCATGGACAGTAACGAGGGGCGTCTCTGCTGCTGAGGCTGAGTGGGCAGACAACAACCCGTCATGAGGAGCGGAGGGGGGCATGTCTACAGGAAGGGCCAGCCACTCTTTTCTTCCTTGCCCGCAGAACAGGCCAGCCGTGGGCCTCTCGGGATTTCTGCAAGGTCACTGACTCCCCAGACACTTCTAGTACAGATGTGGGGGTGGCTTCCAAGCTCTACAGTTCAAGTCCCATGTCTAGGTCTGGGGGTCCAGAGTGCAGTATGTTACACCCACTCGCTTCTTGGCTCGTGTGACCATCCAGGAGAGCAACTGAACGCATGCTGGCACCTTCACAAACCTCCACGGGACAAGGGGTCATGCTCCCCTTGGAAACAAGAACACGCACCTAGGGGCCTCCACAGGGTCCCGCCCCAGGGCTGAGCCTGCTCCTCACTACCATGCACGCTCCTCCCAAGCAAGTCCCCGCTTAACTTTCTGGCCAGAATTTAGTCAATCTGGAGTCAAAATGATGCCACACACAGATAACAATCTTTTAAATAGGAACCATCTGGTTAAGTCAGCCAAACCCCTGGCCAAGACCGTTGCTGAAATAATTTGGCACCTAAAGCAAAAGCTCAAAAGCACATCTGTGGAGTTGCTTCATCCTTTCCTCCCACCATGCTTCCTCCATGAGGAATCTCGAGCTCCCTTGCCCGCATCCCAGCCCGGCCTGCTCCCTCTCACCCTGGCTTCGAGCGGATGCGTGGCTCAGCGGTCACGGGTGGAAGACTTCCCTTCTGCTCGGTTGTGTGGCTGCCCCCACTTTCCACTATTTCCACTCTCTCCTCCTTTCCCCAGTTCGATACTCCACGTTCTCTCTTGTTGTCCTAATTCTCTCCTTTTCACCTTTAAAATGAGAACATCTCTGTCTCTTCATAAGGCTTCTCTCCAGCTCTGAACTGTGCGTATCTGGAATAAAACTTCTCAAAAACTTGCCCAATAATATAGTAAAACAGCTCACACCTTGGGGGTACCTATCATGTGTCATAAATATTTACATCTGATCCCCGAAATGATAGATGTCAACAGCACCCTTCCCATTTTATAAATGGGGAGACAGAGGCACAGAGAGATGGAGTGACTTGCCCACCAAGCCAGGGTGAGGATTTGAACCCAGGGAGCCCGGCTCTAGCCCCCAGGCTCTCAACCGTGAGGCGGCATTGCCACGTGGCAGCCTCAGTATCGTTCCTTTCAGGAGTCTGCAAAGACGTGTTTCCGTCATTTTCCTCAGTCAAGTTCTCTCTTTGCTCAGGGACCTGCCTCTCCCAAAGGCTGTCTGTCCCCCTTTCCCCGTCACCCCACCTGCTCTTCACTCCCCTCCTGGGCGGTTTCCCTCCCAGCAGCAGGCTTCTTCCTGACAGCCAGAGCACAAAAGCTGGCAGCCACATTCCTGCAGGAAGGTGGGAATGTGCTAGGCTAACAGTCGGGAGAAGGTCATAATTAAAGATGAAATCATTCATGTATCCATTCAGTGTTTGAAACCCCAGCACAACATTCCATTGTCCAGTGGGCAGGCCCCCTGGGTCCAGCCAGGGACACAGAGGTCCCAAGTAGCCCACTCCAAGCTGCAAAGGACTACAGCTTCTAGAAGTTTCCTTCTAATATTGAACCAGAATTTGTCTCCTAGTAATCTCTCCTTTGGGGCCTGGTTTTATCCGCTAAGTTCTATGATACAAATCTAATCTTTCTTACGCCTTTCAAATAGTTAGTAGTAACTGTTGTGCCTCGCGCAGCACCCTCTGCCCTCTTATACCACCAGCTGAGACTCACAGCTCAGAATAAGTGACACAGAAGAGTGCCAAATGTACACTGGGGGTCGAGGAGAACAAGACCAACAGAAAGCAGGTGGGGTCCATCAAGGAATTCAAACACCCTGGCAAGCCTTCTACACGAGTGGTGTGACCAGGGAGACCTTGCTCACCACGGAGTCTAACTTGTGTGTCCGGGTTTCCGAGACGGAAGCTGTTGGGTGGAAATGCTGCGTCTGTGCTAAAATGGGCACACAAAT